CTAGCCACAGGTGAGACACTTTACACTCATTTCTCTCCCACTAGCCATGCTTGAGACTTGCAATTTTTCTACAGCTTTACCCACCCTTGGTGGCTTCTGTCTTTTTGCTGGCAGGCATTCTCCTGGGTCTGTGGTCATATCTGATTGTGATTTAAGTTTGTGGCTACCTGATGTAAAATGATGCTGAGCATTTTTACATGTGCTTATATGCCATCCATATATCTTCCTTGTTAAGGAGTTCATTCAGATCTTTTGTCCATTTTATGTATGTATGTATTTTTATTTATTTTTGTTGAGATGGGGCATCTCTCAGTTGTCCAGGCAGGTCTTGAACTCCTGGCCCCAAGCAATCCTCTTGCCTGGACTCTCAAAGAACTGAGATTACAGATGCTTGTCACTGTGCCCAACCCTGTTGCCCATTTAAAAAACTGGGTTTCTGGTGTTTTTTTTACAATTGCACTTTGAAAGCTCTTTGTGTCTTTGTGTGTTCTGGCATCAGTCTAAGACTTGAAAATATTTTGTTTGCCTGTGACTTGCACAGGAATGAACATCTCGCTTTGCTGTGTGCTTTGCTTTACTGCATTTCACAGATACTGTTTTTTTTTTTTTTTTTTTTTTTTTACAAATTGAGGGTTTGTGGTAGCCCTGGTCAAGCAAGTGACCGTTATCCCGGTGCCATGTTCCTGGCAGTGTGTGCTCACTTCAAGTGTCTGTGTAAGCCACTTTTAGCAAGAAAGCACTTTTAATTCAAACACAGACACTGCTTTTAGACGTGATGTTGCTGCCCAGGGGTAGTGTAAACACAACTTTTACATGCACTGGGAAACCAGAGAAATTAATGTGACTTGCTTTCTTGAGATGTTCACTTTATTGCAGTATTCTACACCAAAACCTGCAATATCTCTGATGTGTGCCTGTATTTTTATTTTCTTAATGGTGACTTTCAAAGAGCAAATATTTTCAATCTTGGTAAAGTCCAAACTATGATTTTTTTCTTCCATAGGCAGTGATTTTGGTGTCGTATCAAATGAAAGCTTTGTCTCACTCAAGATCACAGAGATCTCATTCTGCTTGCTTCTAGAAGTGTTCTATGTTCAGCTGTTAAGTGTCAGATAGATTTGGGGCCAACTTTTTGTGTGGGGAATGAAGTGGCCCTGAGCAATCTTTGTACAGGCTTGAAGAACTCAATTGTTCTTTTGTGTTTCCCATGTGGACATCCAATTGTTCTAATATCCCTTGTTAAACTATAATTTCTCCCCATTTAATTACTTTAGTGCTGTTATTTAAAGTCAACTGACCATAAATGAAAGGTTTAACTTTGGACCTTTCTTCTGGTCCATTTATCTATGTCCCTCTTTTTGTCAATGCCACACTGTTTTTATTACTGTAGCTTTATGTCTGTCTCTATGTCAGTGCCACACCGTTTTTATTACTGTAGCTTTACAGTAAAATTTAAAGTCTGGCTGTGTAAGTTCCCCAATTTTATTTTTTCTCAATATTGTTTTGGTTAATAGAGTAGGGTAGGTAGCCTAGATCTTTTAAATTTGGATAGACATTTTAGCACCACCTTGTCATTTCTGCTAAAACAAAAGCCTGCTGGAGTTCAGCAGGGATTGTGGTGAATCTGCAGATCAGTTTTGGGGGAAATTGCTCTTTTAACAGTATTTTTTCCAATGTATGAATACTGTGGAGCTTTTCATTCAACAGATTGTCTTTGACTTCTGTCAGTCATGGTGTACAGCTTTCAGTGCACGTATATGCACACGGTTTGTTGAATTTATTCTTTTTTATAAGAGTGTGAATCAAAGTTTTAAAAACACAACCCAGATTTTTCATTGCTGGTGTACAGAGATGCGTGAGTGTGTATTTTAAGATGTGCCCCACATCCTTGTTAAGCGGTTTTATTATCTTAACTAGGTTTTAAAACATAATTTTTTAGGATTTTGTTGCCTGCAAATAAACATGGTTTTACTTTATGTTCTGTGTACCTTCATTTTCCCTGTGGCATTGGGCTGCCCAGAATGTTCCTGCTAGGTCAGAAGTGGGGGGAAGGGGTGTCCTTGCCTGTCCCCAGCCTCGAGGAAAGCGCCCTCAGCCTTTCACCAGGAAGTATGACATCAGCTACACAGAATGCTTTCCTATCATTCCGGGTCGCTGAGATTTTTAAAATCATGAATGGGCACTTCATGGTAGCACACCTTTTCTGCACTGATTGGCATGATCACATGGTTACTGTTCTCTGTTGTACTAACGTGCTGAGCTACAGTCACTGATGTCCGGGCCTGAAGCCACTGTGGCACCCCTGGAGTAGGGGCACCGGGCTGCGGTGTGTGGGCCCGCCCTGTGCTGCTGGGTTTGGTTTGCCAGGGTCTCGTCAGTGACCTTTGCCTGTGTTTCTGGAGTTTATTGGCTTATGAGTATCTGGCTTTGGTGTCAGGTTGATACTGGCAGTGCCGGATGAGTTGGGAAGTGTTGCTTCCTTCTCCGTTTTCTGAAAGTGTGTATATAGTTGGTATTACATTTTTTCTTAAAATCTTTGCCAGAATTCATCCATGAAGACTTCAGGGCCTGGAAATTTTTCTTCACTGGAAGATTTCAAATCAGTAGTTCAGTCTCTTGGCTGTTCTATGTCTACTGAGCTTTTCTATGTCTTCTTGAGTTAGTTATAATAATTTGTCACTTAACTGGAAAAGGAACTAACTACCTTAAGTTAAAAAGCGTTGCTTCAGGCCAGGCACGGCAGCTCACGCCTGCAATCCCAGCACCTTGGGAGGCCAAGGTGGGAGGATAGCTTCAGGCAGAAGTTCGAGACCAGCCTGGCATGTCAAAATCCCGCCTCTACTAAAAATACAAAGATTAGCTAGACGTAGTGTGATCTGCGATCCCAGCGAGTTGGGAGGCTGAGGTAGGCAAACTGTTGGAACCCGGGAGTCAGAGGCTGCAGTGAGCTGAGATTTCACCACTTCGCTCCAGCCTGGGCAACAGGGTGAGAGTCTGTTTCAAAACAAAATAAAACAAAACCCACAAAAAGCATACTTCTGTGTGCTAACACTATGGCTGGTGAAGAGAAAAAAAAAGCATACTTCAACCTTAGAAGATTGATAATGAACTATAGAAATGTTTAAGAAACTCAGTTCCATTATTATTTCTGCACTGGGAAGTCATCTGTGCATGTTGGGTATTTATGTTCACAAAGACACGTCATGCACACAGCTTCACACACACAGACACACTCACAGCAGAGTCCACGGGCCGCACCAGCACTGAAGCACAGGAGTGTGGCTGAGAGCTCCCAGCCACAGAGCAACGTGGACATTGTCCCAGGCCTTGACAAATGGAGCAGGGACAGGTGGTACCTGGAGAAATCCTTCCCCCATTTGCACGGATGGACCTTTCCTCTCTGCTTGGCATTTTGACCTCTCTTCCTCTTCACGGGTCTGAGAGAGATAATCAAGGGTGGTCATCTTCTTGACCTCTAGAAAGGGGAAAGGAGGAACAGGACAAGTCAGCCACCCGGCCGCTTTGCACCAGGCCCACGCGACAGCTCAGCAGGGCGGCCAGCGCCCCACCTGCGCACCAGGGAGCACTGCTCTGCCCACCACGCAGGCCCTGTGAGGCCAGAGCGGGCACAGGCACCTCGTGGGCCCCGCTCTGCAGCTGGTCAGCAAGAGGGGTCTGCAGGTGTTAGCTGGGGACCGGTGCTGGCCCGCATCCCGCCGCCCGCCAAGACCTCACTGAGCTGCATTGTCAGTGAGGTCAGAAGAGAAGAAGCCTCTCATGGGCCCGGGTCCCCCCACACCACGCAGCCTGAGAGGTTGCTCCGGATCCCCCGGGGATTGCTGATGGGGTACGAGGCCAGCTCCGGAGGGGCCGCTCTGTCTGAGGGTCCAGTGCCCTGCGGGTGTCCTTACATCTGGACAATGGATGGGCACACTTTGGGGAAGGCACAGAGGCCCTAAAGTCAGAGGACCACGTGGTACAGCAGCCATCCGTAGGTACTGGCCGGTGTACCTGGGACCACACACTCCTGCAGGTGCTCAGAGCCCCAGGCCCAGGAGGTGAACCCAAGTGCCACAAGTGCCACTCAGCACAGCCTCTGATGGGGCTGAGACAGGTCACTGACCCTGCAGCCCTGCACAGCATCCACAGACAGCTCAGCAGGGTGGCCAGCACCCCACCCACCCGGCCGGCCCTGCGTGCAGTAAAACAGCCCAGGGAAGCAAAGCAAAACCCGAGATCCCTGTTTATCTAAAAAAGCCGTGTTAATAAATGTTAATAAAATGGGCTCTGCACCAATTTCAGCCACGAGCTTCCACGGAGGGCCAAACTCTCCATGCCGTTTTCCTGAAACACCAGCACCGTGAGAGCTGACGGCTCGTGACTCTTCCTGGAGAGCCAGGTGGCCGCCCACAGAGGCCTATTTGCAGTGAGGAGCAGATGGCAGTGGGCGCCCCGCGGAGCTGCCCGCGGCAGCACAGCCCGTTGCCTGCAGTCTTTCGGGTGCTCCGCTCTGGCCGGTTCCTGAGCCGCTCCACATGGCTCTGGCTGGTCCTCCACACCCCCTAGGACGTGTCGTGGTTTCAGCACACAACCTCAGGCTTGTTTGTATTCGAGTTAAAATATGTTCTTTTGCCCAGGTTTGCAGAAACACCATCAAAAGCACATCTTCAGTGTGCCCGTGCTCCCGGGGGCAGCATGGTGCGGGCAAGCTCCATGGAAACAGTTAACCTGAGTGTCACGGTGACCTTGAGGGCTTGCAGGGCAGCTGTGGAACCTCCAGGCAGGGCCATGGTCTCCAGCGCGGCCAGTGCTCCCTGGCGGGCCAGGCGACACGGGGAAGGCTGTGCTTCCGGGACCTCATCCAACAGGTTTTCTCTGCTGTCTGCCATGCACGTGGCTCCCACCCACCTCTGGAAGGCGGCCCCACATCACACACCTGCCCAGGAGATCGTGTCCTCGTCACAAGCACTGAGGACTCATTAAGGTCTATCCTCCAACCTTCAAAACAGAGTCTGAGTGAGCAGCTGCTTCTGACCCGGCTCCCCACAGCCTCCCATGGTGTTCAGGCAGAGCAGGGACCACACCCGACACTGCCCACAGATGAACAGAGCACGCACACCAGGCTGCGCCTCCAGGAGCCTGCATGGGAATTGGCGACCTTGCCCCAAGGACCGCCCTCCACAGCTGCCTCAACCTCATGGAACAGGAGGCAGACGACCCATCGGGCCCCCAGATGAGAGTGCAGCCCGGTGCCCAGGGGGACGACTCTCCAGGGACCCTGGCAGAGACACAGCTCAGAGGTGCTGGCCCCCTGATGACAGAAGCTGAGGTGATGAGGTGCCGTTCTGAGCAGCTACGTTCTGTGGCAGTTTTACCACAACCAACAATAATCCCTCCGACGCTGTCCTGGAACTCTGTTCTCTGAATCCACATATTCACCCCTGGCTCCGTCGGGGTCTGAGAGGACCCTGGCCCTCGTTCAGCTCACAGAAGCATCCACTCCCAGGCGCCTGGGTTGGGACCCAGGGCCCACGAAGGCCCCGTCCTCACGGCGACCTCGGTGGGCCTTTAAGTGCCGTTGGTTTTGCATCCAGGACAGCTCCCAGCCCACCCTTCCTCATGTCTGAGAGCCTGCCATGACGTCTGGATGACTGAGAAGGCTTCCTGCCAGCTCCCTGGCCCTGGCTCCTCTCCGGGCCGTCGGGCACGAGGTGGCTGGCACTCCTCAGTGCCTGCCCTGCCCACATCCAGACCCTTGGGGAAGTGCCTCAGCTCCTCATTGCCCCATGCCCGCCGCTGCACCCCCCCACCGCCTGAGGCAGGGGCCAGCTTCTCCGCAGCACGAGGCCATCTGCACACATTCACGTCTTGTTCTTGCCCCCTCCCCGCAGCGTGCAGGTGACCATGCCCGGTCCACAGGAGCCTCAGCCCCCACGCACTCGGCACACAGTGGGTATTTACTCCATTTTAACCCGGGAATACGTTTTGTGCACAAAGTTGGAAAAAACTGACAAGTGCAGACTTTGCATTCCTGGGCAGTCTGGCCATCTCTTCACCTGCGGCGTGAGTGGAAAAAACCACGTGGGCCCCAAGATGTGCCCTGTGGACGGCCTGAGCCCAGCTGAGTCTCACGTTGTGGGAAACTTGCTCGTCTGGGCGTCTGAGGGGGACAGACTTCCTGATAAGGAGAGATGATAAATTCTGGGTGAGGTGAAACTCCAGAAAAGCCTTCAAAAAATTTAAACAGAGAGATTTCTAGATACTTCTAGAAAGTACTTTAAAAACCATTGCTGGTTCTAAGAGGGGTGGAGAGCTTTGAAGGAGGCCCAAATGACCCTCACTCTGAAGGGTCTAGGCTGCAGGAAGGGGCAGCCCGGACATCTCCGTGAGCCACGGCTGAGGCTTCCGTTGCATTCCGTTCAGTAAACATACCCCGAGCACCTGCTCGATGCAGGCACGGGCCTTGACAGCCGGAACTAAAACTCTGAAAGCATCACACTCAGCGCTGCGTCCGTAGGTTTCATCCATTCGTCTGCATTGCACTTTCTTCCTTTTTTTTTTCCAAGATGGACCCTTGTTCTGTCGCCCAGGCTGGAGTGCAGTGGTGTGATCTCGGCTCACTGCAGCCTCTGCCTCCCGGGTTTAGGCGATTCTCCTGCCTCAGCCTCCCACCCCAAGTAGCTGGGATAACAAGCACACATCACCATGCCGAGCTAATTTTTTGTATTTTTAGTAGAGATGGGGTTGCACCATGTTGGCCTGGCTGATCTTGATCTCCTGACTTCGTGATCCCCCCGCACTGGCCTCTCAAAGTGCTGGGATTACAGGCGTGCACCACTGCGCCTGGCCCGCTGCACTTTCATTAGGAAACAATTCAAGCCTCAGGCAAGACAACAGTGACCGTTGCTAGAAAACACTCCCAGGCTCTGTGCCACAGTGGGTTGTGGGGTAACCTGTGGTTTGAATAGGAGCCTCCTGGTAGGGCATGCTCGTTCTCAGCTGGACCTTCTCGCCACAGCCGCAGGTCGGGGCTGTTCCGGAGATGGAGTGGTCTAGGTGAGCCCACCCGACTCCCTCCGCTCTGACCTGGGGTTGGCCAGGCTGTCAGAACAGGTATTGTCGGGGGCTGGGCCTGGACACACTCTGCTGCCCATGCCCAGAGACACCCCCTGAGATGCCACAGCCCAGGCAGCCACTGCCCAGAGAATGAAGGACACTGCACGGCTGACCCGCCATGACCAAACAGCAGGAGGAGGCAGGTGGCTGTTTCTTCCAACAACAGGCTTCCTTGGGGGTGGGGAGGAGGTTGCCCCCCCTCATTCAGCAACATGACTTACCGCCTGCCACTGTGCACGAGTGAGACAAGATGCAGCAGGACCAGCAGCTCTGGCCTCAACTGCCCACTGCTGTGCCTGCTGTGAGACCCAGCAAGACCAGAAGCTCTCACCTCCACCACCTGCCACTGTGCCCACCGTGAGACTCAGCAGGACCACCAGCTGTTGTCTCCACCACCTGCCACTGTGCCCACCATGAGGCTCAGCAGCAACAGAAGCTCTCACCTCCACCACCTGCCACTGTGCCCACTGTGAAACTCAGCAGGACCGCCAGCTCTCGCCTCCACCACCCGCCAGTGTGCCCACTGTGAGACTCAGCAGGACCAGAAGCTCTCACCTCCACCACCTGCCGCTGTGCCCACCATGAGACTCAGCAGGACCGCCAGCTCTCGCCTCACTTGTGTGGTTAGTGGGCAACCTGCCCGTAGTACTTTCTGTTGTTGGAATTTCTACTTGGTGCTCTTCTTAGTCCACCTGTTCTTATTTCATAATGTCCTGTTCTTGCCTCATAGATACCACTCCTTTGTCTCTGAACATTTTAAACTTGTTACTTCAAGCACCCAGCACCGCTCCTGAGGGCTCGGGTGTGAGTTCAGCTCCTTGCTGGGTCTGCTGGGCCCTCACGGATTTCATTTCTTCCTGTGATTTCCCCTTTTTTCCCATGATCTCATTTCTGACAGAGGCTGACCGTGAACACAAGCGAACACGGGCGGCGGGGGAGGCGGCAAAGAATCTGGCCTCAGATGTGGGAAGCCCAGGGCGGGGGATGTACTCAGGTAGATGTGGAAGATGAGCAGCTCTGACCACCCAGGCTCGGGGGGCTCGGGGGGCAGGGGACGTACTCAGGTAGATGTGGAACAGGAGCAGCTGCCCTAGCAGGAGCAAGCCAAGCAGGTCCAGCAGGAACACGGCTGCCCCGATGACCACGACCATCTGAGTCGTCACCTTCACCGGGAACAGCGGGAGGAACAGCAGCCACGTGTTCGCACTCCTGACATCTGTGGAGACAAGGGAGACACAGCACGTCTGGCACCTGCTGATGGGCACCGCATCGGGTGGACATCACAGACCAGGGCTAGCTGGGGATGGGCAGCGTGGGGACAGCCTCCCGAGTAGCTGGGACTATAGGTGCTCAGACTTTGTCTCTGCCCAGGTGGACGCCTCCCTTACCTGAGTGCCCCCCTGCCCAGGTGGACGCCTCCCTTACCTGAGTGCCCCCTGCCCAGGTGGACGCCTCCCTTACCTGAGTGCCCCCCTGCCCAGGTGGACGCCTCCCTTACCTGAGTGCCCCCCTGCCCAGGTGGACGCCTCTCTTACCTGAGTGCCCCCCTGCCCAGGTGGACGCCTCCCTTACCTAAGTGCCCCCCTGCCCAGGTGGACGCCTCCCTTACCTGGGTGCCACTCAGGCCCTGCTGCCTGTGGGTGGTGTTTATCATCCCAGATTTACGGATCCGGAGGCGACGCTGCAACAGGGTCACTAACTGCAGGAGTCACCATGCCTGCCGGCTCTGCGGGCCCCAGCACCCACCCGTTCTTCACTGGCCACACTGCCTCCCTGAACCCTCTGCACCCTAAAACAGCCGCCTTCAAATAGAACAGGAAAGCCAGAGCTCTCGCCTGGGACATTTCTAAGATACGGTCCTCTGTGACTTGGGGCTGCCAACACCCAAAACAACACTTCCAAAAATCGGGCGTGAGAAAGATGCTGAGGGGCTGTGTGAGGCAGGGTGGCAGAGGGTGGATTCAGCCTGGATGTGTCTGGGTGATGGGCGCTGCCTGGAACTGGCGGCCTTGGGGGCCATCCTAGAAGGCAAACACCACGCTCGGCACGACGGGCTGCAGCTGCCCCTGCACCGCCAGGCTGGACCACGCTGCCCCCTTAACCAGTGATGTCATGACGAGTCCAGCCCATGAGAGCGAGGAGCTGCATGGCTCGGGGCCCCACTGGCTTTGAAGCCCTGCAGAATCTTCCAGAACAGCAAACCCAGGAAATGGCTCCATCCATGGTCCACGAACTCACCGAAGCCCCTGCCCTGCCACACAGAAGCAGCGTGTTCCAGGAGAGAAGCCAGTGCAGCCACTCCAGCTGCCTCTGCCCTCTCCCTCTCCTGGCATCCCCTGGAGTGAGCGCCCAGACAGCGCAGAGGCTGCTGGGGAAGGTGAGTTGCCGTAGAGGGAGGAAGACAACAGGTGTGGTCCTGGGCTCAAGGTCGCTTGAGGACCTGGCTTTCAGGGCGGAGCTGGCTATCAGAAAGTGCTTCGGGGCACCTGTGAGGCCCTGGTGGCACCCATCATGCTTCAAGGTGGACGGAGAAGCTTTAGGGCCTTTACTAGGGAGCTGGCAAAGCTCATCCTTGAAAAAAACATTGCACTATGTTGGCTCCGGAATGTTCTGGCGCAAGGGTCATGTGGGTCCTGCCTCTCTCAACACCCGGGCCATGTGCAGGGTGGGCACAGCCACACCTGGAGCTGAGACTGGCAGCCCTGACCCACACCCGAGGGCTGCCTGGCCCAGGTCCTCCTGGTCAGGGTCCTGGTACTGCAGCCACCAGTACGTCAAGCAGTGGGCGTGCGGGGGGACGGGGCAGCTTCCACAGCAGACGCTTGCAGTCCCACGCAGGGCTCTGACATCCTGCTGCCGGCCAGGCACTGCCTCCGGAGGCTCCATGGAGGTCCTCCCACCGCTGCCAGTTCCTGTGGCTCCGGCCACCCTGGGCTGTGGCCGTCTCACCCCACCATGCCTCTGTCCTCACTGGGCTGCCTCCCTCAGCGCCTCTCCTTTCTCTTGTAATCACACTCGGGGCTGGATTTGGGCCCCTGGGACAACCCAGCACAATCCTCCGACCTCAAATCCTAAGTCACAGCCACAGACACATTTCCCAGGACGCTGGCATCATGGGATCTGGGTTAGGCGTGGACTTGACTCTGGAGCCCACTGTCCACCGCTGCCACATCTCTCCTGTGGCTCAGTGCAGGCAACAGTTCCTAGGGGCCCACTTGGCCAAGAACCTCAGCACCCCACAGCCTACAGCCCCCACCCCAGCCCGACCTCCGCTCTCCCCTCCCCTCGGGCTGCTCCTGAAGGACTGGCGCCCCCCTCATCCACCGCCACATGGCCCACAGGGAAGGCATGGCAGGCGCTGCAGAGCTGACTGTGGAGGCCAGGGCAGCAGTGACCCGCGCAGGACAAGCACCCCACTCCCACATCCCACAGGGACGCCGACAGGCGCTGTAGGCCTGACTGTGGAGGCCTGGGCAGCAGTGGCAGCACCCACAGAGCAGCGTGGCCAGCACCGTCCCGAGCCTGCCTCCTGGGCACTGGGGGCTGCTGGGCTGTGTGGGCCTGGGCTGCTGCCTTTGGCCTAGGTCAGCGTCTGCCTGGGGCTGCCCACCCCAGCCTCTCCCTGGGCCAAATGGGGCCAACCACCCCCAGACCGATACTGCCACTTGGAAAGACGACTGGAAGCAAGGCTGTGGCCAGGTCGGCTCACGGCAGCCACATACCTGCATACTTGGGGTCTGTGCGGAGCACCCAGGGGTTCAGGATGTACTGGATGAGGACGTACAGCAGGATGGCGATCACGCAGAGCAGGCCAGCTACGGCCGAGGCCACTGTGCTGAAGAAGAACCTGCAGGAAGACGCATAGGCAGGCATGGGGGGTGCGCTGGGGCAGGCGCGGGCGCGTGGGGGCGGGGTACACAGGGGCAGGTGAGGGCGTGGGCACTGGGGGCAGCACGGTGGAGGTGACAGGTCAGTGTGGGCGTCCACAAGGCCTGACACTGGCCCCAAACTCCACTCTCAACTGGAAGCTCAGGCTCCCGTCTCAGTTCCATCCTGTGACACTCCCCAGGGTCTCCAGGCCTCTCGCTGGGGAGGGACGGCTGTGGCCCACTCTCACCGCCTCGCACCACCTGACAATTCACACAGTGCTTCTTGCAAACCCCACAAGGAACAAGGAGGTTGTGAGGAGTGGGAACCAGCCCTTCTCAAAAGTGAGGAAACTGAGGCCAGAGACACAGTGTGAATCGGCCAAGCCCACCTGGCCAGCGGAGCGTGAGGGTCACAAGCATCCCCAGCATCAGCTCTGCGGCCTCCGCCTGCACCCCTCCACCCCATCTCCTTCAGACAGGGGCTCCCTCCCAGCCAAGGAGCACGTGGGCTGGGTCCACTTGTGGGCCCTGAGCCTGGTCTGTGTTGGGGTCTCATGGCACCACTCAAGGCAAAGGCACTGAAGCCTGGGAAGGTGAAGGCCACAAGAGCACCGTGGCACCCAGGAAGGCCTGTGGGCACCCAGGAGGCAGGCACACCATGGGCCTGTGGGCTCAGGGACCTGGATCTCTGCACCCAAAGGGAACTTGGGCTGAGGAGGCCGTGGAGGAGCCTGGCCATGCCTCGGCCCCAGCCTCCTTCTCCAAGGGTCCTGTGCACACTTGAGCCAAAAGCCACATCCACGCTGTGGACCCAAAACCACCCCAGTCTCGTCTTTGCTCAAAAGATGCCGAGAATGATCCACCCAGAAAATCCAGTTCTCCGCAGCAGTTCCTGGAACATCTTCGTCCACATCCTCATTTCGCCAAAGCGTCTTCCCTTGGTCTTTCCGCCGATATGATATTTTTTAAAGTTTCCTCTAATTTCCTTTAACTTCATCCTGTGTATTCCGTTCACCTAAACTTGTGAAATTCCTTTTCATGTTTTCAGCTGGAGGCCAGAGTATGAATCCCACAGTCTTCTGAGGACGTTCAGGGGAAGAGGGGGGCAGGCAGCTGCCTTCCAGGCGCTCCTCCTCCCTCCAAGAGTCTTGAGAGTCTTCCAGAAGATCCCAGGGCAGGGCGGCTCCAGGCGTGAGGGTCTCAGGGGCTGCCTGACTCCCGCTCCCTCTCACTGGCTTCCCTCCCACAGCGACAACCAGGCGGATGGTCCCGAGCACTCCCTCCTGGCATGCTGGTCCCTGATGTCGCCAACATGCTCTCCGGTAAGTGCCGAGCCTGGTATCCTGGCCTGGATGTGGCCGCACAGGCACTGTGACCCCAGCACTTAGTGGCCCTGTTGGAGCCTCACTTCCCTGGCCTGGATGTGGCCGCACAGGCGCTGTGACCCCAGCACTTAGTGGCCCTGTTGGAGCCTCACTTCCCTGGCGTGGATGTGGCCGCGCAGGGCAGAGGACTGGTGAGGCCTTTCATGCCTGACTTTTGTTTCCAAAGAAGCAACCCCTCCAGGCAGCGGGTACCCTACCCTGCCCCAGCCCCCCAGGGCCTAAGCCCACTCGGAGATTAAAGACCCCTCATCTTCACCCTACTGTCTGTACAGGACTCCCCTCTTCATCCAATAAAAAAAAGGTGAGTCTCCAAGACCGCAGAGCCCAAAGCCCATGGGGCCGGGCAGAGCCATCCACGGAGGGCTCCTCTTCCCTCTCTGTCAGCAGGTCAGCGCCCGCGGTCGGAGGCCAGCACTCTAGGTCTTCCCAGGACGCCACGGCCGCCTGCTTCCTCCTCTCCATCTCCCTTCCTCTTGCACCAGGAAGCAGCATACAGCCTCCCTCTCAGGGGCTCTGCTGTCAACTCTGTCAACTTCCCGGGCCAGAGGGCACCCGTGCCCCCAGCCCTGCTCTCCTGACGCCCCTTTCCCACGCACAGGCTGCAGCACCTGTCTGCACTGGGCACCCACACAGTGCCTCTCCCTTACCCCTCCTGGGGAAGGCAGGCCCTCTCCCCAGGCGCCTGTGGGCCCTCGCCCCTCACCTTCCCCACCAGGCCTCGCGCACAAGCCAGCTCGAGGCACCAGAGCACAGAGTCCGGAAGAAAGCGGTGCCCAGGGCTTCCAGAGGAGCTGGCCCGACCATGGCCGCCAGAGCTGCTCTTCTCCAGGGGAAGGCGGGTGGGTCTCCCCAGCCCTTCCCGCCTCACGTGGCCTCTGGCCTTGCTCTGCAGTGGCACAGTCCTCTGTCCTTGCTGGACTGCTCAGCTACTCTGGACACACTTTGTGCTCAAGGCAGGAGGGCAGGGAGGCAAGGCAGGGACCCCACGGTGCATCCTGTGACACGAGACAGCGTTGGCCCCCATTCCTGCCCACACCAAGGCCTCTTTCAGCTCAGCACAGAGTAGCTGGGGGCACGCATGGTTCTTTTCCCTGGTGATCTTCACAACTCTAAGTGCCATGGACAGCCGGGGCTCCGAACATGGGGCCTTGAGAGTCCCTGGATCCTCCACGATGCTCAGGGAAACACCTCTCTTCCATGCGCTGGGTGCCCACTGCCCCTCCGTGGCCCCACCACTGTGCTCCACAAGCCGACAGTCTTGGCAGAGAGAAGGCAGCCCGGCCCAGGGCAGCGCAGGCAGGCCACCTCAGCCAGTGTGGCCCAGGGGTGCCCACATGGGGGCCTCCAGGGACTTCCTCTGCAGACGAGCCTGTACAGGGACGGCTGCACCACAGCCCCAGAACCAGACGGGAGGCTAGGGCATGAAGGCATGGAGCGCCAGTATGCCAAGACAGGGACGCTGCCCCGAGGAGCCCTCCTTCCGAATCCCCCCGCCCGGCCCTGCCGCGCGCCTCACCAGTAGTTCCGGCTCCCCACGCAGTTGTTGAGCAATTTGCAGTGGTGGTCAAAGCCTGACACACACTTGTTGCAGGCGATGCAGTGCTTGGCTTTCTTGGTCCTGGAGGGAAGAATCGGGGAGCAGCCGTCAGGCCCACAGCCTGCAGCCTGGGGCAGGGCTGCAGCCCCATCACCGGGGGCCAGGCGCCTCGAGGGAACCAGGCCTCTGTGGCCTGGGGAGGGGGGCGTCCGGTGGGAACAGGAGGCTGGGGGAAGGTGCCGAGGCCCGTGGGGAGGAGGAGAAGCAGGACAGCTCTGGACCGAGGCAGCCACAGAGCAGGAGGAGGTGTGTCTGCACTGGGTGTGGCCGCCCTGAGCGTAGGGGGCCCGGAGCTGAGTGGGGGCTTGGATTCCACCTGTGCCTACAGGTCCCCCTTGCAGCCAACAGCAGCCCTGCAGGTGCCCCCTAGGCCACCACGGATGCCCCAGGACCGCTGGAGACGTGGGGTCCATCCTCCCTCTTTCCTTAGGGCTTGTCTTGAAAATCCCCAAGAACAATAGTGCCCTCTTGCCCCTGGACCCCAGGGGAGGGACCTGTGTGCACAAAATCCACTGGGGATCAACCATGCCTGAGTGCAGACATAGCCCTCCAGCCTCAGCCCTGCCTGCAGAGTGGGGGCGGCCTGGCACTGTGTCCCCTTCACAGGGGACTAGGGGCTGTTCACCTCAGCCACAGACCGAGGCCAGGGCTACTCCCCGGAAGCCCCATTAGCGCCGGCGCAGCCGTGGCAGTTCCCTGAGCCCCCGCACCCCTGGAGCTGACCCCAACACCGCGGGGCCTCAGCAAGGCGGGGGACTCACACGGTGACCTTGCACAGGTGGCAGTAATGGTTCTGGATCACGTGTGCGTGTTTGGATCTGTCGAAGATGGGCATGGGCTGAGAATAATCCTTCTTGAGCCGCACGTTGGGGTCAGCCGGGTCGATGCAGCAGGCGATCAGGTGAAAGATGAGGTGGAAAAAGAAAACCCCCCCGGCCACCTGGCACGTCAAGGAAGAACCTGGCCCGGGTCCTGTCAGCCTGGCTCAAGGCATCCCCTTGAGGCCCAAGAGCCCAGAGGAGTGAGGACGCAGACCCGCCCGGCTCACCCAGCCCTGCTCACCCAGCCCTGCTCATCCAGCCCTGCACACACAGCCCTGCTCACCTGAGCCCTGCACACCCAGCCCGGCTCACCCAGCCCGGCTCACCCAGCCCGGCTCACCCAGCCCTGCACACCCAACCCTGCACACCCAGCCCTGCACACCCAGCCCGGCTCACCCAGCCCTGCTCACCCAGCCCTGCACACCCAGCCCTGCACACCCAACCCTGCACA